CTAGTCCCAATTAGCACCGGTGGTCTAATTTCGGTGAAAGTCGACCGTCCAGTCTCAGTTGAATTTGGTAGTTTGTTCCTAGTAGAATTTGCTAGTTCAGTATCAACTGGCCCTAACGATCCTTGTCTCGATCACAGTCAACCGTCCGGTACCAATCGGCATTGACTATCCAGTCCTTGTTGCTACCCTTAGTCCAATTTTGATTGGATTACTGATGTCCGAGTTACTTTTAAATTTAAATATAAAATTTAAAATTTAAAATTTTACTTAAAATTTAAACAAAAAAATTTAATATTATAATTTAAATTTTTTTATATCATTCAAATAAAAAATTTAAAATTTATAAATTTTAAATATGTAAAAAGGTCTAAGTTCTTAATCTAAATTTATCCATCTAATGACAAGCTTAATGAATTTTAAGATTTTTTAAGAAAGGAAAGAAGCAGTGTGAAATTTAAAAGGTGGAGCGGGTAGGGAAGGCAGGTTGAGAGGAGGATGGTGTGTCTCCATTTCTTTTATCTCCTTTTTCCCTCCATTTCTCATATCTTGATCGTTTGATTTGTGTGGTTTTCATCTAACCCTCCAAAGTGCCAGCTGTCATCTAATGCATTGTCCTTTTTAATTTTGAATAGTATGCTGTAGCTTTATTTGTTAAAAGATAAACTATATTAACTTTTTTCAAAACTATTTAAATTAAAATTTTATTATTGTGTTTTATATTTTTTATAAGCCAATTATTCTTGTGTTTTAAATTAAAACTGTTGTGAATTTAATCATTAAATAGTATATATTTTTATCTTTACTGTATTATTTATAAATAAAAATATTAAAAATGGAGAAAATATTGTTTCGGTGAATAAAAACTGTTTGAATAAAAGATATTTAAATTATTAAAACTGTTTTGGTGCGTAACATATGGGGCTTCGTTTTCAGTTTTCTTCACAGGTAACATATGGGGCTTCGTTTTCAATTATTTATAAATAAAAAATATTTAAATTAATATTCTCATGCGATTTTCAATTTTCTTCAGGTAACATATGGGGCTTCGTTTTGCACTTACATATTTGAAAACTTCATTTTGATTTTACATGACATATTGGTTGAAATTTATAAAAAAATATATATTTACACATACATATGTTGATAGAAACAAATATTTATATATACACACATACAAACACATTTTGATAGAAACTAGTTTATAAACGGTTGAAAAATCTGGTAAAAAATATGATTTGAGTTGTACCTAAAGATATTATTTTTAAGAGTTATTTTATCATACATAATTTAATTGCAAAATCTTTCCAGAATGAAACAAAACCTTCTTGCAAAAAGTAAGGTCCAAAACATTGGAAACCACATAATGACTCTGGAGCAGTACGAGAGAAGGGAAGGAGAGGAGAAGAATGCCCAAAATCTTGGGACGGCTCATCCAATTGTGTGGTATGCACTGTTTTTTACATGCAGAGAACTCATAAACATTAGGCAATTAAAACACCAATTAATGACACCTTAATATCATAAAAAAAACATTTTCAGGAAATAAATAAATTTAAATAGTGGTTAACATTATTAATAAATTTTAATGCTGTAGGCTATTATAAAATATCCATCATAAAAAAAATATTTATGTGTGTATAAATACATTTATACACACACACACACATACATACTCATTTTTTTTTAATATTTTTACTCGAACAGTTTTTACTCACCGAAACAATATTTTCCCCATTTTTAATAATTTTTATTCATAAGTAATATAATAAAGATAAAAACAAATATTTAGTGATTAAATTGGTAATAATTTTAATTTAAAACATAAGAATAAAATTTTAATTTAAATAATTTGGAAAAAGCCATGTTTATTTCAATAAAAAAAAATTCTGAAACGGTTTGAGAGGAGTCAAAAACAAAAGGACAATATATTAGATGACGGCTAGTACTTTGGAGGGTTGGATGAGAATCATACAAATTGAACGGTCAGGATTTGAGAAATGGAGGGAAAAAGGGGATAAAAGAAATGGAGACACCCACCCATGCCTGCTCTTCAACCTCTTTCGTTGGATGATGTGGCATTCTTTTTTATAAATTTTAAATAATAATAATAATAATAAATAACATGGATGTTCGTTCATTTGAATGACTATGAACAGATAACATTTGCTTTTTGAAAGTTGAATGGCCGATCTCACCCTTTTTAAAAGTTAAGTCAAAATTAGTGTGTGTCTCCCCATTATTTTGCTTTATGCACTTGCAAATAAAAAATTTTTAGTAGGGGAATGAAGCCTTACCTTATTGATTTATTTATAATTTATAATGCTTTTCAATACATGAAAATTTAAATTATATTTTTTTATTTTGTTTTGTTAATGTAAAGTAAGCCTTGGATATTTTTTTTTATTTAAAACAATATCACACGATTCTTGAAATCACATTAGATTTTGATTAATTCAAGTTAATTCTTTAATGCTCAAGGTGATAACTCTTTCAAAAATATCTTGTTATTAGATTTTAAATTCCAAATTATTGCATAAATAGCATCTTGAACTCTAAATTTTTGAAATGTATAAAAATTTATCTCAACTTTTAAATTTCAAGCGTCTGAAAGTTCACCGTTAAATTAAAAAAAATGTCCTCTACTTTTGTAATTTTAGGGCTCAATCGCATGCTAATATAGTACTCATCTTGATCATTAAAAATAATGATCATTTTCTCTAATTTAATGGTGGAGTTTCAGGCACTCAGAATTTAGAAGTTGAGAGGAGTTTTTACACATTTCAGTAGTTTAGGGTGTCTAATATTATTCACGCAATAATTTAGAGTCTAAAATGCTCATTAACCCATATAAAAACCTATTTATTTTAAAGACATTTTTTTTGTATTGATACCAACTTAAACTCGTATTGTTGGTGGGCAACTTAATTAAACTTGTATCATTGTTTTTAAATGAAAGGTAATTTTTTATTCTCTTCAAACCATAATATATATAGAATTTCTTTTAAAAATTCAATTTGTCCTAGAATATATGCCATTATATAATTTTTATCATTATTTGTTAAATATACCCTTACTTCATTTATTATTCTTTTTGAAAAAATGAATTAGATTTTCAGTTGTTATTAATTATTAAAACACTTATATAAAATATTTAATGGGATGAAATTTTGAATGTGATTAAGGTTTTGCCTAATTTGTTTTTCGAGACCACAAAGAAATTATCAATACTCTATATTATTATTTAAAAAGAGGGTATGTTAATTGTTAAACGAATGCTGGTAGCTAGGGATCTGTTAATAATTTTTCATTCCAATGCACAATAATAGGTTCGATATCATGAATCTTTAGATTTTGAGCAATAACATCATCCAAATCACCTCAAACATTACTTATCCCACTACTCTGTCTATGTAAATGTTCAGACTCTACTAAAGATATTGAAGAAGTGCTTTATTTATTTCTTATTTTATCATAAAACCAATTAATTATATATGAATCTCCCAACTTCGCCAAAAATCTATCCACTGACTTCTCAATGACTGATATTAGGCCCAACTAATTCACAAAAATTTTTTAAAAATAAGTTTTGAAAAAAAGAATTTGTTTGAGTAATTATTCTAAAAAATATGTTCAAAATGGTGAAGTGAAGAGTGAGATTGATTTGTTTTATCAATATGATTGTCCTTAATATAAACATAATATTCTCCCCCAGCCATATTCTCTAATTTTATAGAACAAAAGGCAACAGCATTAAAAAGATGTTCTAGTTTTTTTTATGTTTCAGAATAAATTTTAATTTTTTTATATTCCAAAGCTCAATCAAAAACATATTTTCAAACCGGTTATTTTTTATCTTTCAAAACAAAAACAAAAAATTTTTCAAAATAGAAAATCAAACAAGCCTTTTGATTTAAGGTTCTTAACTATCTTTAAGGCTAACAACTTTTTTACACCACTCTTTTTGTTTTTTTTCCTTTTTTTTTTAGTGAAAAACATAATTGTTTCCATGTATTCATGATCTATATGGTATTGTAGGACTAATGGATCAACTTTCAAAGCATTAAATCCAGATTGTACAAATTAAAACTAAAAATTCTCAATCTAATTTCACTTTATTTTTATATCTTAATAGTTTTTGTTTTTTTTAATAGATGCACAATTTAAAATAAAATCTTTTAAGTTTTAACCATCATTTAGGCAAAAAAAAACATTATTTAAAAATATAAATAAAAAAATTATATCTAAACCATCTAATTTTAATTTAAAGATATAAATCTTATCACAATGATCATACCATAATGAACCAAAATTGCACCCAAATCCCATTTAGTCATTAGTTATAGTCAGATATAAAAACCTATTGATGAGTCTTTAATATGTTCTTGGGTCATGAATCAATGTCAACTCATCATCACAATCCTTCCAACCTTATAATTATGGGCCAGTAAATTTCCTCCTAGCCCTGAACCACTAAGGCCGATTTCTGATATGGCATGATGTTGCAATATATTCAAACTCACTTATCTCATTTGAAATTACTTTGATAGACTTGCCCATTCCAAGTGTCTCTTCATAGATGTTTCTTTTTTATTTGTGCAAAAGTGCGTGTGTGCATATATGTTAGATGTGATGGGATAAATATTTAAATTAATTTTCTATAATTAATTAATTCCATAGAAAGCCTAAGACATAATCTCTACGATGCATGATGTGCTTGGCGGGTTTGATTGCCCTTCATAAACACTTATGGCTACTGAAACTCGGTTTAAAAGAAAAATCTTTATAAGGTCCAAAATAAAGGTTTTGAAAACAGTACCTAAAAGCCCCTAATTTAGTGTATATATAATAGTCAATTGTAAGAAACCAATATAAAAAAAGCAACCAATTTCATTTCAAAAGTGGCAATTACGACAAAGCACACAAAGTATAATACTATGGGGACTTACGAATACACATGACAACTTTGACTCACCCTTTGTTTATTTACATCCATTCTAATTTATTTTTGATAAGCACACCTATTTAATTATCCATGACAAAGAACAATTAAATGGAATCAATAAGTAATGCTATTTGATACACATAGTGGCATTATTGAAGGATCATATTTGATTCCTTCGTAAACTTGATATCCTGGAGGAAAACACTTGTCAAAGCATTGCTGCTCTGCATAGAAGCCTTTAGCAGTTGGATAGCCTGGTAAATAAGGGAATTTTTAGAGCAGTAAGAAAAAAAAATGAGGGGAATTATTGTCAAGTCTGACAAAGTAATTTTAATTATTCCAAAATTCTATGAAATAAATAAATTATTACCAAATATTTTATCTTTTAAAAAATATAACTTATCCACCACCAGTTGCCAAATTGCTCCGATCAGCCTCCATTGCCGGAAGCACTTACTTGCCACTACCAAGCATCCGCGACTAGAGGTCAGGCGTACAGTGGTGGATGAGTTATACTTTTTTTTTTAAAAAATAATAAAATATGATAAGGATATTTTTGTTATTGCATAGACAATTTTATTTACATTTAAGAGACTTGGGACTTGATTATGGATAATTTAGGGGACTTTAGGCCAATTAGAATTATTGTGCGGGACTCAATTGTGGATTTCAGGGGAACTTGGGGTAATTAGAATTATTGTTTGGGATTTGATAGTAATTCTCCCAAAAAACCACACACCACATATATATATTAAACTTACCTCTTGGATTCCAAACTCAACAACCACTTCTTGTAGTGAATTGACATCTTTGATGTTGAACTTGTTGAGCAAAGCAATACACGAGATAGGAGAAATGGGTTGAACTACAAGATTATCCATTACCATATATGTCACAGCTTCCTTCACAAACCCATCCTTCCCACTAGGACCTTTCACTTCCATTTTCGTCTTCCCAACCCAGTTCACAGAATTGTTCATCAAACGACCGCAACTCGGACACAAAGTGTTCACATCCAGAGTCACATAGCAATTACACCTATTCCAGCTGCACATGTATAGCTTAGGAGGCTCATCTTCTTCTTGTTCAATATTCCCTTCATAATCTAGTAGCAAGAGGAAGCCAGGAGGGATTAGGGTTTTTGGTTTCAGTAACATGTCTTTGTCTTGGCTTTGTTGCAACAAGTATGTGTTGCTAAGATTCTCGATGCTTTCATAAAGTTTGCCTAAGGAACCCACCATGTTGGTTTTGGTTAAGAGGTTTGTGACGGCACCAATTGGCAGGCGATGGAGGTTGAAGAGGAAGTCAATAAAGTCTTTGGATGCTTCAGCGAAAAGAAGTCTCTCAGCTTTTGTGTCAACTAAAAGCTTCAAGCTCATTTTTGACATGGATGTTGATGGTGATAATGTTGTTGTCATTGTTGACGATGAATCTGTGACATTAGTATGAATAAGTATATGAATTATTTTATCAAAAAAAGTATATAAATTATTGAAAAGCTTTAGTGAGATGAATTTGGTAGTATTTGAATTTAATTCATATATGTAAGAAACATATTTTCTTTAATCTTATTTATAAGTTACTTCTAATATTTTTACAGTAATAAAAAAAAACTTTAAACTTCATTACTCTAAAAATTCAACAACTTTCCAAATTTACCCCCTATTAAATAATATTTTATAAAATAAAATATACTAGCATTTAATAACCATCTCACCATTTAATAGGAGTAGAAATGTAAAAATAGGCAAACACTTATTTAGATGTCTTCTAACTAAGACCTAAATAAATACTCCCTCTATCTCATAAGTAGTAACAGAGGAGTCCATGCTATAAAAACTCTCTTGGAATCATCTTTAGGAAATGAAACCCTTTTAAGAATTGTGTATCTGAATTCTGAAATATTAAAGATGTAGGACATTAATAAAGAAAGACAATGATGATTTTTAAATAAGTCCCATGGCTGATGATAATATTACTGTTAGCAAAATGTATTAGCTAGCTCGATTCAGTTAAATGCAACTTGAAAACGCACGTGTTGAATGTGACTTAAACTATATAGTTTAACAAAGAGGACACTAGATCAAACACACATACACACACACACAATACTGTATGACACTTCTTTATTATATATATATATATATATATATATATTCCTTACCCATTCAATTTTTTCCTTTTATTTTTTGAAATTTGGAGTCAAGCTTCTTTTCAATTTTTTTTTTGTGTGGGTTAGGTGAAGATTAGCTTACTTTTTGTATATTTGAACAAGCCAAGAAGGTTTACCCAAATTGTGTGTGTGTATTTGCGTCTAATCTTAGATATATGACATAGCATATATGCCGTACCCAACCTCCAGTAAAAAGAACAGGAAGAAAAAAAAAATTAGATCCCTTCTGGTATAGGCAATATTTTATTTCATCTCAAAATTTGTATTTACAAGAAATAAAATATTGAATGAGAATAGTCTTAAATTGAATATCAAAAGACCCATGTTGGACAATTTCATCTCAATCCAAAATATTAGAAATAATTAATTTCTTTATTTAGGACTTGATTGTAATAAATTGAATATTTAGACAATTTCATCTCAATTCAAAATTAACGATGCCATTTGAATCTCATATCCTAGTGCCCATCTTACAGATCATACTCCAAATTATAATAATTCTCAAAATTTTCTTTAAACAATACAAAACTCATGATCATTCAAATTAAAGGGAACCTATTTCTTCTTTTTATACATCTCTTTTAATACTAAAACACAATTTTGAATAGAAACAAGTCTTAGTTCTTTTATTCTATATCATACGTACATACCTATGAGATTTTTGAGCTTGAGACGTTGGTGATGTCAGAACTTATTAGAGCCATGATATAAGTTCTCTGTTGATTATCAGATCTACATAGGGAAATCAATAGTGGAAAAGGAAATGTAGTACATGTTAACATTTGAGAAGTTGGAGGTTAATTATATATACAAGGTTGTGAACATAACGTGAAAAGACAAAAAATAATCATGACCTTTCTTGAGCTTTTTTTAAGTAGGATTCTTTGGAGAAGAATATCATTAATTCTATGCGTAATCTTATGTCATTAGTGTCCACTCTTCTTTGAATTCTTTGCGTAATCTCATGTTGTTAGTGTTTGCTCTTCTTTGAATTCTTTGCGTAATCTCATGTTATTAGTATATGCTTTTCTTTGAATAAAAAATAGGATTAATGAAATTTTTAGTCTCTCAAGTTTGCTTTAATTATCAATTAGGTCTCTCAAGTTTAATTTTTATTATTTTAGTCCCTTAAGATTGTAGCAATTATCAATCTGATCCTAATTGTTTTTTTTTTAAAAAACCAAGTCCTAATTGTTTTAAAAGGAAGTAATTAATACTGTTAAAATTTGCTAACATAATAATCAAATATTGACGATAGCAATATAGATTAATAAAAAAAGGGTAGTTATTTAAGTAAGAAAAAATAGACTTAATTAGAAATTCTAAAAAAGTAAAAGAACAAAATGTAGTATAAGATACTAAATTAATAAACATTAAATTAATTTGAAATCTAATTTATTTTCATTTAGTTACATATATATATATATATATATATTTGTATACAAAGTTATTAACATACTTTACATATCATAAGGACTTGATTTTATTACTCGTGTGATGCACATGAAGCAAAAACTATATCAAATTAAATATCACATTTTATATTTTTTTTATTGATACTATATTAGTTGAGATGCCATTACTTTATTAAGTAACAGAAAGCATTCCTGACAAAAAAAAACCTCATCTATTAGCAAATTCAATTAATAATAAAGAAAATGTTAATCATTACTACAACTTAAAGGAATCAAGCATAAAGGGATGACAATTAGAATGCATATTATAACATCCCATGAGCCTAAGTTCTTAAAAAACTTTATAAATAACACTCGTGGTTGTTCTTCTACCTATATTTTCATGATTGTGCATTAAAATCTTTAGCCCATCCATGTTTCTTACCTTAACAATGCGACATATTATTCTTTTACTTCCCCACGCAATACACGAGAAGATTATATATAAATGCTGATCAAATATAGTGATTAACTCATAGATAATTTGTTAATTGCAAAATTTGTTTGTTTTGTTACCTTTCATGCAAGGAAATTGAAATTGTTAACCACCTATTTATGATATTATATTCTACAATTTTTATGATATTATATTCTACAATTTTTTATTTTAGATATAATGTCTTCATCTATCTGATGCACATATTTTAAATTTATATATAATGCCTCCATTATACAATTTTATGAACTTCAAATCCTTATTATACTAAGACAACTATTTTTTTAATATAGCTAGCTTTTACTTTCTACCCCAAGAGACTATAATTAACGTCTAATTGAACTATATATAAATTAATTCTTACTTCAAAATTATATAAAATGAAGAGTAGAATTATGATAGAATGTTTTGCAAAAAAGTTGCATAAAAGGAGAATTTTAACATTGGTTATAGTCAACTTGCAAGGGTTTCTTGTAAGTACAAGTGACTTATTGGATCACATGCATGTTTTCTTCTTTCTAATATGATAATGAAGATTTTGTAATGCTAGACTTGTTTTCCCATGGTGAATATTCAATCAAATTCAATATTGGAATTGGGCCAAATTTAAAATGAGTTATGCTCAATAATTGTAAATGAAAAATAAATTTTATATCTACTTATTGTATAACTCATTAAGATTACTTGAACATTGTGCAAAAAAATTACTTGAACAGAAATTAGTATAAACGTGTAAACTTATAACAATTTTCATCATCTTATTTAATGTACATTAGAATAATAAACTACAAAACAAATGTGTCTCGCAACACCATGAGTGCTCCTATCGAACAAAGAAATTCATATATTCAATTACACAAAAGAAAATCAAATTTATATTTCTCGTAAAGCAAAAGAAGAACAATCCCTACCATAATACCGTGAACTTATTACAGTATTTTTTTTTATACAAAGGAAAGCAAAAATGAAAAAACAACAAAATTAACTCATATCAGCACTAAAAAAACCTTCAATGGAGTTCGCAGCAATGTGATGAAAGCCAAAGGAAGGAGACAAGGCTCTTTTCGCTAAGTAATCAACTTCTATGTTTAACTGTCTTTCCATGTTCATTCTCTCTGAATGAGTGATTTGATCCAAGAATTATATCTCTATGAGCATGTCTTTTACTATAGGGCTAATTATCTCAAGAGCCATAGCACAATCACTTTTCAACTAAACCTTTCTATGCCCCTTCTCCTATGCTCTTTTTAAACCCATGAAGCATGCCCATAATTTAGATTATTACCATAGTCTAACTTGAGCATAAAAACTTATTACAGTATTCTCAATATATAAACGTCAAACAAAATTTACCATCAAGGAAGCTTAACATTACAATCCACAAAACAAAAAGCATAACTCGACCACCTAAATCTCATGTAAACATAAAAAACTTGTCAACAGCTTCAAAGAAGGTAAATGCCTCATTCCATGATCACTTTCATAACACAAATTAGAAAAATTGCACTAGACCATGTTTAAGTCTAGAGATTTAAAGTTTGCCATGTATCTACATCAAAAAGACCTTAAGGGGCACGTTTGGCACATAATTATTTGCAAATATCAATAGGTACTACGTGACTTGCAACGTATCATATTAGCAACTTAATACCTTTCTAATCAATACAAGAAAAATACATGAATCTCTCAATTAATGCATAATTTTAAAGGACAAATAAAGTGAGCACAAGACATATAGCATAAATTACAAAAAATATGTTGCACCTATATGGCATAATCACAGCTGGGGGTTGTCAATTTAAGAGTCTTAAAGAAGATATCATACAGGACTTCATTATCTAGCTGGTAAAATTAAAGAGTGGCATTCTAAGGCTAAAGCCAGTGAATCCGCTTACTAAGCTCTGTCTTTTCTAAAACTTAAAATTGCACTAATGTCCATGAATCCCGAGTTCTCACATAATTGAATCCCAAATTTAATTCTTTCAAATTTCTCTATTCTACAAAAATGAAGGAAAAGCTAAAGATTTAGCAACCCTAATGTTATGGCACATATATGGGAATAAACATCATAATATAAATAATAAAATTTTACCCTTACAAGATTACTAATAAAGTCTTAATATTTCTCAACATGTTTTAATTTGATATAATTCTTTTTCTTCTATGAATCCTGTTAACAAACATGATGAGAAATAATAATATTTCCTAAAAATACTAATGCCTTAGTTTGATGACACAAGTTGTTCCTCTTTCTCATCATTCATCCATAATAACAAAAACAACAACTTGAAAATGATGAAAAATATAAAATTGAAGCCAACAATTAAAGCATGGACCTCTATTTTCTATATTCATCTTTGAATGACAATGAGGAAGAAATAGGGTTATCTTCTAAAGATATTCTTCCTGAACAGAATTTAGCAGTAAAAGGGAACTTTTTAAGTAAATCATCAACAAAGACCACAGGGGCTTTTTAGTAATAAAAATACTAATTTTTAGATAAATCAATAATGCATGATAGTTGAAAAAAAAAATACACATCTCATAAAATTCTAGAAGACCCTTCTTGCTTTTATTCTCACCTAGAATACATCACAGAGATGATGATTAATTAAGCTACCAATATATCTAAAAAGCAACTAGATCACATGATTCTATTTATTTTATGGAAAATGAGGTTACCAACTCTTTTATGTTCCTAGGCACTTTCACGGAATTTTGGAATCCCTTTGAAGGTGATCAAAACGTCCCTAGAATCAACATCAATGTGAATTAGAAAAAACAAATACATACGGTTTTACTAGAGTGTATTAGAAGCCTACATAATATAAGTCTCGTGTGTAAGTCAAAATTAAGTGGCTCTATGCACAGCTTAGCCCGTAGTATTTTAGATAAACAACATCAAAAGCCTCTGATCATTGAATAAAATACATGGAACATCACAGTAAAAGTCTATATTGATGGCATCTCAGAAATTCAATTTACCTCAAGGATCCTTTAGTAGATCATCTCCTCAATCGAAGCTGTAGTTTTAGTCATATCAGGTTCAAGATTAGCTTCCAAAGCACTACTCATGGGTGTCTTGGTTGTAGTAAGCTATTATTAAAAGCCAAAGTCAGTAATCTAATATCTAAAGATTTACTGATTAAGCATAAAGGCTTAAAAAGGAACCCGCAACAAATTGAAGAAAAGAGGGGGATACATCACTTCTCCCTAGATGGTCCATATTTTTTTGGCTCCGAGTTAGATTTCTAATCATTGATACAACAAAACCCATGTGTGTATGTATATATATTCGACAGAAAATTTCCCAGACTTCCTTTACTAAATCTCCTTTACACTAAAAGAAAGAAAAGAAAAGGGAAAATAAGAAATTTTATTAGAAACAGAGTGGCTCATTCAGAAACTCCCTTGTCATCTTCGTCAAGTCAAATCATAGGATCAAGATTGCAAGGTTCAATCTTGATGTGAAGAAGTGAGTATCGGTGAAGAGAAGGAGCAAGGAATCATTACCTATAGTCTTTTACTTGCTTGCTTCCTTTTAAACCTCTCCATCATCTCATCCTCTCTTTTCTCTTTAAAATCATGCTACTCAAATCTTTCATCCTCTCGGCTTTCATTCCTTGGTTATCATATACATTCGAAACGTTTATGTTTACCAATAGAGGAATTGAAATAAAAATGGTGTAACATCCTAAAAATTAAATTCTTCTTAATCAGACTAATCAAGGATAATTCAATAAAATTTGTGTGATGTGTAGTTAGAGAGGATTAATAAGTGTTTTTGGTTATGGTTTTAGTTATAAATTTGGGTCCAAAGTGGAATTAGTTCACTTGAGCAACAAAAAAGGAGAAAAACAAAGAAAGAAGTTTC